CTGGGCTTTGACCTCCATGGTAGTCAACTCAAACTCTCTTTTCTGGTAGATACCCTGCGTGTCCCAAGAATCGGGAGAGCTCTCGCTTTTCGTATCGTTCAGGGTGGTTCGTCCATCGGAGTAGATGTGCGCTTTGTGCGTGGATTTGGTGCCGATGGTTGGGCCGGGGCCGAAACCGAAGCCGAAAAGGGATGGAGCTCTGTGTGATGTTAGCGTTTTGCGACAACGACGGTACAAGATAAGGACGTACCGGCTGCGTCGCCTTGTTCCTTCTGCGGTGGACGCCAGCTTCTTCGATGTAAGGGAAGTCTTGATGTCCCGGAGAAGAGGTCGCAACACGGGTATACACTGAACGATGATGGTGCCGACGATCTCCGAAGAATACCAAATGTTGGAATGAGCGTTGCGCCAGAAGTACCACTCGTCCTTCACGTTGCCCTCGTCTTTCCAGCCTGTGCGTACAGCAGATACGATCGCAACAAACATTCCCTATTCCAAAGTCAGTGGTGGATTATAGGGGCATACTTGAAGCGACGCACCAGACTCATGGCAACACAAAGCCCAATCTTTTCCACCTTCCGCATGTCGAGGTTCCATGTGATGACCCAGGGGAAGACTGCGAGGATAAAGTCCATGATGATGTTGTACACGTTGCCGCCTTCCTTAAAGTCGTCCCTAAACTTCGAGTCCAGGCAGAAATCCAAGCGGTACCAGACGTCGTAGGATTCTTTGCCGCACACTTTTGCCCATTGGAGAATGACCTTGGCAACCATGTATGCATTCATACTGCCGATGATAAACCAGAGAATCCATTGGCCCCAGTTCTTAGTCAGCTTAAGCAAAGTGACGGCGAAGGCGGTTTTGGTAAGCGATTGGTTGATCAGTGTTCCACAGGAAGTAATGTTGATAAGTATGTGCATTCGATCATCCCATGTGTCGGTCACATAGCCCGTGGCATACTCGGTTGTGATGATGGCATTGTTGACAGCAAGTAAGACCTGTTACATCGTCAGCTACGACTATCTGAAAGCACAACAAGTGTCTTACCCATGCAACGAGGAGGATGTGATCATCCCACCAGAGACCGTGGCGACGAGTGACTTTGATCCATATCCGGAGCGCCAGGAAGAGTGATGCACCAGCAAACAACGCCCATAGCCCAATGTTCAACTCGAGCGAAGGATCCACGTAGTGGTGATGCGAATCATCGTGGTTCCGGCGGATCATGTTTTCCCAGCGGTCGGAACGGGATGCGGCATAGAAGCGAAATGAAGGAAACCGTAAAGAGTGAGATGTAGTCGCAGACCGACAAAGTTAAGAAACGAACGAACGAATGCCTCCGGCACTCTACACTGAATGACCGGGGTGGTGGGTGGAAGAAACGACGAACAAGAAACGCCGTAAAGTGCGAAGCGGCACGAGGTCTAGATGACATTTGCGCATCCCCGTGCAAGGATTCCAGGGATTTCCTGTTGTTAGCATCGATCACAGCCCAGCAAGCGACAATCTGCTTGACATTCCAGACTCGGGGGTTTTGAAATGAGTCCCATCTCGAAGGATGGTTGGTGGAACCACTATGCCGGTAGTGGGCAAGCCCCGGGCGCCGTCGCACGATAACAGCTGTATCTTCCGATGTATCCTGGGGAAGCTCGTGTTTGCTAACTGAGATAGACGTTAGTAGGCGAGCCTCCCATGGCTTGTGCTGACGCGGAAGGGCTCCGTCATTTAGTCCGCTTGGGAGAAGCAAGCAGAAGCTGCTCAGTGCCCTTTAAGCGGTGGTTTGACGACATTCAGATCAGCGATGGTCATGGCTACTGAGATAGCTGCCACACAGTGGGACAACGTCGCACAGATGTGCGAAACATGGCAAATGCCGCGACCGCGACCGTGCTTGCTTCTCCTGGGTGTGCGCAACGTTCCAAAGTCGTTCCAACGTCGCTCGAAACAGGCCACGTGCGGAAGACGCCACTGCGTCCGTGTACTGGCGGAGAATTACAACTGCGATTAACCTTGGGGGACGGCTCGATATTAATCGATGCATTGCAAACACCAGCTCAGCTGCGCCGAGCGTATGGTACGGAATGGGTAGGCCCGGGAAGCCGCAGTTATGCCGACCGGTAATGACTGGCATCCCCAGCGCGCAGACTTTGCTGTTGGGTTTCTTCGCAGAGTTGGACACGAAATCGATGAATCGCGAGGGAAGGGGTGGAAGGAAGTGTTTCAGATTGAGAGACGCCGGGTCAGTAGCCGATGCGCTGTTTCGAAACGGGTAAAGCATATCCGGGCGCATGAACGAGGACGTCATTCGATCGTGCGCGCGACGAACACCTCCCTTTTTCTTCTCTATTTCCGACATACCATGCTATAACAAACACATCGGTTAGCAGTATAGGAGGAGCGATGCTGGGTGACTCCAGAGCATTCACAAATGAAGGTTGCGCGACGATGGTTCCTCATTACCCACACCTTGAAGCGGAAACGATTGGGCATGTACAGCGGCGTTCCTTCTCTTTCGCTCTTATCCCACTTTCTGTGCAATCTCTCAAGATGCTCATTCCTTTTTTCCTACTTCCTCCACTTCGCGATGGTTCGACGTCCTGTAACGCTCCAACGGCGCGCGATCTCAGGTTTGGATGTAGCGCAACCGCCGTGAATTCGAGGACTAAAGGAATCAGAACAAACTACGCGTAGGCGCATGTCGAGCTCAGCTCTAGAAATTGCATTCATCTAGTTCGCCAGATCTTGAGTTGATCTAGGGTTCGCTCCTTCTTCGACGCCGTTAGAGACCCGTTTCGCCAGGTGCGCATCGCCGACCAAGCGGCATGCCAATGCCTCCTCGAAGTCCTCGGATGCGATTGGCTCGTCCGTGCTTGGAAAATTTTGTCGGCAAAACGTGTCTATTAGCCGACCTCAGATCTCTTAGTTGTAGATTTGGGTGGATGGACATGATCTTCAATGTAGCAAGCATCCCTTGTTAAAGGGGTTGAGGGCGCGTGCTCTTGCGACCTGAGAAGGGGGAGCGAGATTGGTTGAGTCGGGTGGTTGTAAACCAACGTTCGCACGGGCAGCCAGGCCTCCCGAGGTCACGAGAATTCGGCCTTCACTTATCCGCGCTCTTAGTCGCCTGGGCCATATCCAACTTGCTCCATCGGGAACACTTCACAGTCATGAGCGAATTCTCAGCGAGTTGTTGTGTCTGTCTGGTAATCCAAGCGACGGCATTGGCAGATACGACTACGTTCGCGAACGTACCCATGGTTCGACCATGATGGGTACTACCACTGCACACTTCTGATGAACCAAGGGTGGGATTTTGGCGGTACTATTTCTTTATGATGAATTTAAAATTAACGTGCAGTCACCATCGCGCAACAAAGTTCTTTTCACATCTCAAAAAGGAGGACGCGAATTACAGCTGCATTCAACAACAGGTCCCGGCATACACGTTTCAGCAAGATGGCCTCAAGTCTACTGCCGGCAAGCGCATTGCGCTGCGCAACCAGTAATGCCACCAGTTCAACAAGCATGTCACTCTTCTATACACTTACAAGGCCATCCACATTCTCAAGAAGGAGCCTCACCCTATCTCGCGGCTTCCGATCGTCTATCCAGTCCTTGGGCCCCTACAAGAAGACCGTAGCATCACCAAAGGTTTCACCACCCCGCTTCCAAAGACCGATACCTCGAATCACCCCTTCTATTCCGTCTCCACGGAAGATTAGGTATCGACACACATCCAAGGACAAGAAGCCCGTGTCCAACATCCGCAGATACTCAATCCTCGCTCTACTGTTCACACCCAGTATAACGTTTCTAGCTGTCGGAGTGTTATACGGATATGGATTCAGCGAGCCGACCTCCAAACAAGGGGGTGAGAAAACGGGAGAAGCAACGGGGAAAGAAGTGGGAAAGGCAACGGGAGGGGCATTGAAAGATGGATGCCGGGTGTATACTTACAGCCAACCCTTGCCATGGCAACCCTGGCAACCCTGGCTCGTCGGCTTGTATATCTATGGAAGCTTGGAGTAAAAACTCTGGAAGACTTTTCGATACGCCGTTTTTGTCCCACGGCGGCTGGACCCGGTATCACCCAAGCGGCCACAACGCCGACTGGAGACTATCAACACCTCACCAAAGACGAAATCCTTATTCATCCGCAACGACATCCACGTCAAGCTCTCGTTCACATACAGTACCAACCCCAGGGAATATCGCGCAACACGCGATAATGTTCTTTCTGCCGTCGCGTACTGGCATTTTGAAAAGGAAGGAGGTCTCCTGGGAGTGCAGATCAGACCTCTAGTCCCTCAACAGTCAGCTTATATCCCTGCGCTGTGTGGATGCTTTTCGCTATAAGTATACCGCTACCTCACTTCTCTAAAAGACAGTAGGAATGACCCAGAAGTATACATGGCCTTGGGATTTGGTAAACTTTGGTTCTGATACCAATGTAGTCTGGAACGCACCTGTTGTCCCTTTTGGTCTATTTTATGATTAGCTAGCAATATGAGTTACCCAGGAGTCTGCATTGGCTTGACCTTGTGAGCACGGTCGCGTTTCTGCTGATGTATGCCGAAACGCACCTGTTGTTGTCCTGGGTGCGTGTCATGATTAGCTCGCGATAGAAATTCACCAGGAGTCTACATTGCCTTGGTACTTCAACAACTCTTGTTTTGATACTAACGTAGTCGCATCGCATCTGTTATTGTTTTGATGTACGTTGCAATCAGATACCAAAAGTACTTACCCCGGAGACTACATTGCCTTGGAATCTTAGAAAAGTTCACTTTGATACTAATGTAGACTGCGTCACCTCTGTTGTGGTCTTCAGTGTCGTCTTGTGACATTTCATCATGGCAGTATCTCGTATTTATAACAGCTATGTTTTGATGTCGTGTGGAGGGACTACCTCAGTCAAGCATATCGGGATACCCTCGACACTCCACTTTCCGTCGCAATCCTCATCCGCCTTTCAGTTGAGCTTGAACCAAAGCTAGTGCCTAGTTGTCAACGGCAAGCAGAACAGCCTCATACTTGTTCTTCCAGTAGAGAGCATCACCGTTGGAGGCAGCAGCTCCAACACCGTTAGTAGTCTTGGAGACTTTGGCTTGGGAAAGCTCGAGCTCCAGGCCCCGGATGACTTCGTCCCTGTCAACGACCTCCTGGCGGTACTGATCGGCCTTCTTGTAGGTGGGTAGCATCTCCTTGTACTCGCTGTAGGAGCGCTTCGCTAGCTCAGTCCATTCTAACACGGTCCCCTCGAGCTCTTTGATCTTGTCCTCCCGAGCACGTGCTTTCTCTTCGTTCATGAAAGACGGAGAGCCAACAACAGCGAAAGTGGGGCTCTTGGAGGCCTTGAGCTCGTTGACATCGGCCTTGAGTTTGGCGTTCTCCTCCTTGAGGGACTCGCAGGTCTGTACGGTAAACTTATGCTCTTTCTGCTTGGCGAGAAGGTTGGTATTCTCCGATTCTAGCTGGTCAACCTCATCGTCAAGACCCTCGAGCTTCTTCAGAAGCCCCTCCACTTGAGTCTTGATCTTGGCTTCTTCCTTCTTGCTGGCGTCCAAATCGGCGCTGAGAGTGCTGGCTTGTTCGGAAAGAGTCGACTTTGCTCGCATGAGTTCGGTAACCTGGGACTCGAGGTCGGCGAGTTTGACGAGACGCTGCTTCAGCTCGGCGTTCTCCTTCTGGCGACTGTCAAGGTCGATCTTCAGGCCTTCAACTTGCTTGGTCTGCTCGTTGAGTTTCTAAAGCCATGTTAGTTCAACCTGCACTTAACTTGCTTGTTATGTCAAAGCCACTTACCACAAATGCCCTCCCATGCTCAGCTGCCTGGTTGCTGTAGCGCTCGTTCAGAGCCCTGTTTTCCTTCTTTGCCTTTTCGGCCTCGAGTCTAGCAGTACTCTCGCCTCCCTTCAACTGGCTGATCATGGTGTTGAGAGCCGTGTTCTTCTGTGTCTCCTTCGCGAGAAGATCGGCAGTCGACTTAAGCTCAGCGGTGAAGCGATCGATTGTCGCCTGCTCGTCGGCCTTCGTCTTAGCCTGGACGTCTTGGAGCGCTTTGCGCAGAGTGTCGGCTTCTGCAAGGAGCTGCTTCTTGGATTCCACGAGAGTCTCCAACTCCTTTCCGAGAGCGTCGACTTTGCGAAGATCTTCCTCCTTTGTAGAGCGCGCTTGCTCTAGTAGGTGCGCATAGTTGTCAATCTCGGTGCGGAAGTTGCCCTTCTCTAGCGTCAGGCGTGAGATGCGCTCTTGGAGGGCCTCGAGCTCCTTCAGCTTGTCGGCAGTCTGCTCCTTGTGCGCAAGGAAAGCCTCCTGGTGCTCGAGGATGAGATTGTGCTGGATGTTGACCTACATGACGTGAAAGAGTTAGTGACTGATTCATCGGTATGAAAGACCTTTTGAGAGCGACTCACCTTCTTATGCTGGGTATTGAGTTCGTCTTGCGAATCCTTGATGGCCTCGTTCACCATCGAGCTGTGATATAAGCTCATGTTGTCACGCTGCTTCTCCAGGAACACAGGCAGCTTCTCCTTGGCGTCATTTGCCGCAGTAAAGAGCGCCTCCAGTTCATTCCACAGGGCTTCGACAGTTGGGTTGGTCGCATCCGGTGACTCTGCGCGGATCAGCTCCAACAGTCGGCGCGTATTGGTGACCGTGGTCGAGACAGTCCTGGTGAACTTTTTGGCATGCTTGGCGACTTGTTCCTTCAAAGCATTACCTTGGGAGATGGCGAGCTGCGCATCCGGGTTGTTCTGAGCTGTGTTGAGGACTCCGTGAGCGCCACTGTCTGCGTCAGCGTTGTGGTGAGCGTCTTTGAGGGCCACATCGGAGTTGCTGGTGTTGGGGGTAGTAATCTGCTCCTTGGTGGCGATGACGCTGTCGACAGTGGGGGGAGCAGCAGCAATAGATGCAGATGGGTTGATGGATGTGGCCAAAGCTGCCTTCTTCAAGTGCGGAGCAGCATACTTGGAGTATCCGAGAGAAACGGGGCCCATGTAGGGCTTCGCGGACGCCATGTTGTGTGGTGGATGGAGAGAGCGCGGAGTTCTGTGCTTGATGTGAGCCGCTGTCAATCACTACGGTCGGATGTGAAAGTGAGGTCGCCGTTGCGCACGATGTAGTCGGATGCGATCAGTGAGGGATACGACTTACAATTGACGGTAGAAGACTAGGAGAGTGCGGGACGGCTTTGTTCGAGAGGATTGGGGGTGGGATATTCTGGTTGGTGGGGTGAAGCTCTCGCGGTGTTTGTGGATCGAAAATAGACCTTGGGAAGGCAGTCGCGCTCGGCCCTAGAGCAACAACGTAGGCAGGTACTCTTCACCACCTAATCGAGCCAATCTCATTGATGAGAGAGATATCGTTAGACGTATGCAATCAAGACACCTTCGTCATGAAGTGAGAAATGAAAAGAATGAATTAGATGACTTGTCACGTGCTAGCAGAAAGAGCGACTGCCTTCACCTTTTCCCACGCTAGCATAACGGCTGGAAGGAGCTATGGGTAGTTGGCAGTCGTGCTGAAGAGCGGAGGCGCCTCATACAAGGAAGGCATTGAACAAGTGCGCCGCAGTCTCCATTGTCGCAAAGCGAAAGTTTGATATCCTGAGATAATGTAGACTTCTAGGACTCTGCATTCTTCCTAAACGGGAAGACCACAGGAAAGACGGAAGAGGTGGAGAATGAGATCAAAATGAAAAGACCTTGCAGCAAGAGAATGTAAGGTTAGATTGATCTTCGACAAGAGAAATGAACCAGGTACCTTTGTCGTTGTCAGAGCTGCCACCTGGGCAACAAACGTACCTCAGCAAGAGCCCGCGGACGATAGCAACTCTTAGACCTACACTTCGAAGTATCGTCACACAAGTTTGTCAGGGCGATCGCGGAATGCTGATTACTTAATGTGTAACTTGTGGAGAGAACAAGTCACCCACTCCAGCGCTCCCCATGGTCCCCACAACCCGCCAAGCTGGACATGCGACCTGGAAACGGGAACGTGGCTCTTGGCTGACTCAGGATACGATGTTGGATCAACGTCCCCTCCAAAACGAACAAAAAATGCTGACAACGCAATGGCAAAACGCGGCTTAAGCCTCGGTTACGGGACAGAAACACAAAAAGCAAAAGACACGCCATTCTGCTTGCCTGTCAAACCAGGAAGACGGGTCAGATTCCCATTCGGCATGCTGTGTGACGGTCACGTCGGCGTGCGATGCCCCACGATGGATCGCGTTGGCCGTGTTCAGACGTGCAGAGGGCACATTTTGATTTTCATCGAGTGGGTTCAGTGTGGAACAGGAGAGTTCCAGACACGCAGGCAGCCGAATACCCGCGCAGAGGACGGTCCGCCCCTTTGAGGATGTTGGAACGGCGCTAGTCCGTTGTGGTTTTGAACGCTCGTGGAATATGTTGCGGTGGGTCTCTTAGGGACTCCTCGCTATTTATCCAGGTGGCCATGGGGAACGGCCGTTGAACCAAGCGAGTGGGGGTCGCACCAAGTTACCTCGGGTTCAAGTGGCTGAAGTGGTTGAAGTGAGGTGGAAAAGGGCCGGAGAGGCAGCAATCACAAACATGTCGAGAGAGAAAGGCCGAAACGAGGCGTCTTGGGTAAGCATTGGAGGTGATGGGGTGGGTCCACTTTCGGAGGTATGGCGCGGAAAGAGCCGCCATCCAGCGTCTGAAACATAGTCGGGATTGCTCCTAGGCCGTCCTGCAGCAGTACGGGCGAGCTGGCGCGCAGGAATGCATCATGACGGAGAAGAAAGCAGGCGAAAGTTGGGCAAGCAGTGCACGAGCCGGCAGAAGGAGCTAGTGATGTTGCACTCGCTGCGGAGGCAGGGCCAGCAGCGTACAGAGGCAGCCCCCTACGGTGGACGAGTGAAACGCGGAGGCACCGGTACAGGTCCGAAGCATCAGGTTGGGGAGCAGATGTCTAGTCATGGTGGCTTCGGACGGCAGCAGGCTTCCTAGCCCGTGGTAGACTGGATGCAGCGGGAATCGATCGTCGCGCCAGGTTGCCGTGTCTCGTGGCTTTCACGTCGTCCATCACGTTGCGGGCGCCGATCGCGTCCGCATGGGGGACTGGCATCCGAACGTCGGGCGTGCACGCTTGACCTGCCCTTGGCCGCCGTGTCGCGGGAAGACATTTAATATCATCCTGTCCGCCCAGCTGGGTCACGGCTGCTGCTGCGAGCATGGGCCTTCATCGCGAACGGTGCAGATCAGGGATTCTTTGCCGACACGTTATTTCTTAGGCCAGTCGCATACCGTCCCGGCTGTTCAGTCGTCTGTTAGTGCTGCATAGTGTCTCGTTTGCGCCCTCCTGCCTGTCCATTGAGATACTTTTTTTGCTTCTTCGTCCCTCGTTCAGTCGCGTCGCCCTCTGCTAGCACCGTACACCACCCACCACCACCACCGCTCTACTGCACCCCTCCCAACCTCCGGTAGCGTCTCCCGCTCGCCTCAGATTCCAATTAGCTGCACGAGTCAGCCCGCTAGGACCTCAGCTAACACGCATGGTAGGCCTTGACTGCTACCTCGCTACTGCTGTATGCTGTAGCCCATCCCTAGCGTGTCGCGACTTCTCCTCTCCATCGCCGCTGCCTCAGCTCCTCCACGACGTCACCCATAGCAGTTTATGGCACCGGCAATCATGTGCTTCGGACGAAAACCCTCTGCCACCGACCCCGAGTCGAGGAAGAATGTCGAGATTGAAAAGAACCTGCGCGCCGACCGGAAGCGGGCTGAGCGCGAGGTGAAGCTGCTGCTACTCGGTATGCATTGAACGGGCCCCGGTGATACAGCGTGACTGAGACAAGAGTGCAGGTGCCGGAGAGAGCGGCAAGTCGACCGTCCTCAAGCAGATGCGCATCATCAACGCAGGCGGATTCCAGAGCCTCGAGCGCAAGACATGGCGGGCCACCATCTTCAACAACCTGGTCTCGGCCTTCCAGACCATCTACGCGGCCATGCAGGAAGACGACATTGACTTCGAGGACGACGACAACATTGTATGTCCCACCCAATGGCTCCTGCCCAAACACCACTAACCGACGACAGCGGTACTCCGAGATGGTCAACTCCGCGCCCGACATTGGCACCGAGGAGCCCATGCCCGAAGAGTTCCACACAGCCTTCAACTCGCTCTGGGCCGACAAGGGCGTCCAGCTCACAATCCTCAAGGGCAACCAGTATGCGCTGCACGACAACCTGAACTAGTACGTTCCCCTCCACCATCTCTACCACTCCCAGGCTAACAATTCAGCTTCTTCCAAAACATCGACCGTCTGTTCCAACGGGACTTCCTGCCCACCGACCAAGACATCCTGCGCACGCGATTACGGACCACCGGTATCTCCGAGACCATCTTCGAGCTCGGCAACCTGACATACAAGATGGTCGACGTGGGTGGTCAGCGCTCAGAGCGTAAGAAGTGGATCCACGTTTTTGACAACGTGCAAGTCGTGCTCTTCCTCGTGGCCATTAGCGGATACGACCACGTGCTAGTAGAAGACCGGAATGGCGTAAGTCGCCTTTTAAGCATACACGCTACATCCACTAACAGCACTAGAACCAAATGCACGAAGCTCTCATGCTATTTGAGTCGATATCCAATTCCAAATACTTCGAAAAGTCGGCGCTTATCCTCTTCCTCAACAAGATCGATCTCTTCACCGACAAGATAGCAAGTGGCATGAGCCCAATCCGGAGGGTCTTCTCCGACTACACCGGCGGGGATCGAGATGTGGAGGCCGGCAAAGAGTTTTTCGCCAACAAATTCCGCAACCTCGTCCGCCAGCCCAAGAAGGAGGTCTACGTCCACTACACCAACGCGACCGACACCAACCTGCTCAAGATCACCATGGCGTCTGTACAAGACATGATCGTCCAGCGCAACCTCAACGCACTGATACTATAGTAATCACGGATGGTCGCGTTGCGATCGTCGCCGTCTTACACACAGCCCACGAGAGCGCTCGCGCGCCCACGCGAAAGCAGGGGTGCACAACGCACACGCGCCCGCGCTGTCGACCCACCTGCCCTAGAAACGGACAGTCCGCCTGGCGGGACCGGAGTAGCAACGGACTTTTAGTGGACGAGAAGAGACGACTTCCACGGCCCTTTTCTATTTTATACCCCCGATACCTCTTTCTCCGCTTCTTCATCATCTTCGCCAGTACATGACGATCTCACGACTTAATCTCCTGGTCTTGATTCTAGTCTTGATCTTGGTCTCTTTTTCTTCTCTCTTGGTTTGTTCTAGTAAGCGGACACACGCATTTTGTAGATTCATAGTGTATTGCAGATCTGAGGAGACGAGCATGTCTTGGAACTCGACTGTGGAAAGATACAGAGGCTGACAAAATCTCCCTCCCTATCTCGGCTTTGGACAATTACCGTTCATTGGGTGTTGTGTACCTAGTACTCCTGCGCAGTCACTCACTGAGAGTGGGCAGGGTCATAGATTGGGGTTGGGCAGTGCCATGTCCAAAGAAACATATTACATGGCATTGGACGTGCAGCGGGGAATGCAGAAGAGGTACATTTTGCTGCTGCAGTGTAATATCAACAAACCATCTTACCCAGCTCCGAGACATTCTTCATCTTGACGTACTCCGGTTCCCGTAGTTTCCGTTTCCCGTGTCGTTGCATATGCAGCCACTTACATAGCCATGTCCAACTTACATCATATTTACCCTGATTTACCCACCGCAAGCGAAGGGAGATATGATCAGGATGGTAAAAAGCCGCAATCCCGCGGGGTTCGTCAACGCCCATGCATCATGCGCCTCTGCGGCGTGGTTGCCTTACAGACCGAACCAGTCGCTCTCGGTCCGTGCCGCTTCAACCCGGCGTGGGACGTTGACTCGCACGCCGCGTCGCAGAGTGGGAGGAGGGTCTATCCCTCCATAGTGAGGGAGTGGCTGAGCTGGTGGCTTGGCTTGGGCTTGTGGCGTCGGTCTGTGGTGGAGAGAGATGGGATGGGTGGATGTGTATGGAAAGGGTGAGATGGATTG